TTCAGTTACAATTCTTTTCCACAACATTTAAAAAGAAAAAAAAAAAAAAGAAGAGGCAATACTGAGAAACCTAGGCAAAGTTATTTCTGAGATACAAGAAGACATTTAAGATCTAAATTACTCAGGTTTCCAGCATATGTATAAAAAATTGAAAGGCATCAATTTTACTGAATAAAAGATAAACTTGCATAAACAGTCAAACAAAAACATTTCAGTATTTGCAATAAGTTTGTTTTAAAAGCCACCCATGCTTCTGATCAGCATTTTCTTCCTGGCCCACTATCAGAATATCATCACTTCTGACATAAAAAAAGGGTCTGTGAAGATTCCGATTTTTGACTGGGGCACAAATTCAAGGAAGCAGAACTAGTCAGGAACAAGAGCTCACTACCTACAGGAGTATAGTGCTCAAATCAGCTTTCTCACTTTACAGCCCTTCAAAGGACAAATGCCAGCAGTAACCACACTGCACTACCTCATACAGAAGAATCCTGAACACCTCTCTAACCCAAAATAGGACAAGAGGACAAAAGGTACAAAAAGAAACCAGAGAGGAAAACAAAGCCAGTGGTATTACTGTGAAGTTGTAAGGAAAAAATAAAAAAAAAAAAAAAAAAAAACAAAAAACAAAAAACAAACACAATGTTACATAGTTGCAACTACCTAAAAAGGCTTTTCTAAACCGCTGTAAGTTATTTTTAGATTCAGATTTATACACACTAAATAACCATCATATTACCCAAAACAAAAAAAAAAACCCAAACACACACACCTTTAATATTTAAAAGTGATATGGTTAAAAAAATTTAAAAGCCTTCTTCTAGAGGGAATTCCATTAACTAGCAGAGAAACTATGTTTCTCTTAATATCTAGCACCTGAAGCCTACACCCCTGAAAACATTTACTCCTTCAAATGGAAGCATCTGATATTAATCATAAAGCTACATATTACACCAGTTTCAATGTCTGCCTGGACTTGCAATTAGAGTTATAATAGTACTTTTGGATTTGAACTTATTCTACCAGGACTTTTTTTTTCATTACATATGCAATATAATTAAGCAATTTCCAAATATACTATGTTTCTTCTTAAGCTTTCTAACTAACAATTCTATGATCACCGAATTGTTCTGTTCCACAGTTTTCCCCACACTACAAATTCAAGCACAGTGTATATATTTTGCCAAGAAAACCTGATAACCAAATGTATGTGTATGTTTTTACAAACTCAAAATCCTATATTTTGTAAATGGAAAAATAACATCAAAATGTAGATCTAAATTTTAAAAATACAAACTAATGTTGCAGAATAAAAGACTCAAACTGGGAAAAGAAGGAGCGTAAGAGTATTCTACAAAGTAAACCCAGTGGAACACAAAACCACACTGAAACCATTGTGTTTGATTTGCATTTGAAATAAACTGTTCACAAGACTTGTGGAAAATGGAACACTATACTTATGTTGTATAGACAGACATAACAACAGGACACAAGGGAAAAGCAGCTCCCTAAAAGCTTAAATATCTTCCATGGATGTGCAAGATCACAGCAAACTATAAATTAATCTAAAGGATCAAGAAAGGCAAACTAATTGTGTACAAAAATAACAGATAGTAGCAAACCAGCACAGAACATTTCCTGGCCTTTACAACTTTTTCTTATGAATTCTGATCAAGTACAAACCATAGACACTTTTCTATATTTTGTAACCAGCTAAAGCTGCTTTTCAGAAACATGTCCCTTTTAGTTAGAACTGAGTGCAACTGGCTTTATTGAAATCAAGACTCTCCTTGACCTCAAGCAAGCTCGTGGCTGTGCCATGTCTCTTATACTGGGTCATCAGTTCTCAACCTCTGTGATTACTGAATCTGAATTTTAAAGTTTGCACAAGTCAAAGAGTCTGGGTGTTTTCAAAACTGTTCCAAACAGCAGATCCTCAACATAGCAGATTCACATTTGAAGAGCCATACTGAAACTAGACTAGGGAGTGAACCTCCTGTTAGTAAAAGATCATCCTCATGAAGCAACAAAATACAAGGCAGATTATTTTCCTGTAAACAGGCATCCTCTTGAAAAAAACAGGTACCACACATACACTCCAAACAAGGCCAATAGCTAAATTAAGCATTAAACCAGAGAGACAGTCACTTCAAAAGCTGATGAAGGATTTATTTTAAAAAAAAAAATATTATACTACCGTTGCTCAACCTATAAACATGTGTCAGAAACATTTGTCTTTTCAAGGTGGAATTAGTAGAAGTTGGCACCTACAGAAAGAGACAGGCACCACCAGCAGAGGGATAACAAGCTTTTAATTTTTATTACATAACACAACTTTATGGAAAACTTTGTAGCTTGCCAGTTCAGAGAACAGATGAAACAGAAATGAAGCATTACAGTGAGGTTAAGCTTAGCATGCCCTTAGGACTTCATCAGGAAGCACAATCAAGAAATTCTATATCTATTCAAAGAAAACAAAGAAAATTTGTAAAATAAAGGTGAAAAGGGTTTTCTTTTCAGGTACATCAACTTACTTCGATTTCTCTTTTCTCATGAGCATATCATTTTACCTTCCAGTAAAGAAGGTACTACACAACTATGTCTCCAAAGACAATACTACCAGATTCCACAAATTTGACTTAGTTCTAACAGGCATATAGAAGTTTCCTCCACTGTAATATTACACAACAAACACGAAATACTTCTATTAACTGCCCCACTGCCCCCAGCCCACCTACAGCTGGAATTAGAGTCTTGTGCATGTGTCAGAAAGTAGAATACGTTCCCTCCTCCAGCTGAGGGGCTGATGATTATACCTACTACCCACACAACTGTCTGTTTGCATATTTTAAGAAATTATATTCACCATGTAACTTCATGACCAGCAAGGGCAGGAGTGATTAGGAGGGGATGTTAACATAATGGTACATGTAAGCAATGTACTCTGTGTACTTTGTTATGCTTAAACTAACCACAAGTGTAATCATACTTGCAATATGCTTCTGCAGCTCTGAGAGAGCCACAAGAAAGTTGTATACTCAGCTGTGGATGGCAGCAGTTTATGCACTCATAAAACCCTGTGGTCATAAATTAAAGACAAGATCACAGCTGTACCAATGCATGATTTAAAAGGCAAAATTGTTATTATTATCCCCACTGATCAAATAATAACATAATATTGATGACAAGCTATCTAAGATCAAAGTATAGTTTCAAGAGCAAGAATATTCTGCCTCCACTGTCCAAATAAAACAACACTGTGCCTCTAAAATATGAGTTATTGATGTTTTATGTGACTTCTTACATGACTACACCAATAGGAAGAGCTACCGATTGCTCTAGAGAGGCTGAAAAAGCTTTAGAGAAGTAGCTGCAGTATAGATGAGCTAGTTATTTAATAATTTAATAGATCTCCACTACTTGTAACAATACCTGGAGAGGCTGCACACAATCATTCCTTCAGACTCAAAATTTGTGCATCCTACTACGTACAAAAGCAGGGTATGTAGCATACGATGTATCAGAACAAGGCTCTGGTGGATGTAAGTAGGAGATAATCAGCACACAAAGAAATACAAATGGAAAAACGGACACTAGGGAAAAGATGGGTGCCAGCATCCAGAAGAGATGGATGATTTGTGTATACACCTGTGTTTTTATAACACAAAGGAGATTAAGATAATGCTTAAAGACCTCTTTACAGAAGAGTACTTTTCTTTTTATGCCCCTCCACTGGTGAGGCCTCTCATGACATATACTGCATCCACTCATGGAAAAGAGATGGTCCAGAAAATCTCCTAAAGTAACAGTTCTCTTCCTACAGACTTGTTTTGCAATATTCAGGAAAAAATATCCCAGAAATTTTCTTCACCAGAAGAAAGAAGGTCTTAACATATGGATTCATAAAATATAGAATAGAAATTAACATACTACAGATCCAGGCAAGTCTCTGTTATCAAATAACCTAGCCATAGGCCTACATAAATCAGTTAACAGTGGTATTTAATACTGTCTTCCTGTACAGCTGAAAAATATTTGAAGCTAAATAATGAAATCATATTTTAATTCAAGAAATCCATTTCTTCTTAGGCAGCAGTAGTTGCAAAGAAAATGCAATTACCCAGCTAAGTCAGGACAGCACATGCACAGAGGACGACAGTGCATGTCTCCTATGTGCAGCATACGTTTCCTTCCTTAAACCGAAGCAGAAGAGAGACAAGCCCCATCAAAACACCTCTACCAGCTTTGAATAGTCCTAAAAACAATTATAAGGCAGTCAGAGAGGAAACTGCAACACCGTTCTTCATCTGCTCATAAGGTGTTGTGTTGCACTTGACTATAGAAGGTTGAGGAAGATGGGACAGCACAGGAACTTCTTTATGTGCCCTGTATTGCTCTGCTTGGAGCATGGGGCACGCTGCAGTGCTGAGAACAGCATGAGGGGTTAGGGAAAACACATCAGTTACGCACATCCGTTGCAACAGTGCAGGAAAACACGGGAGGAACTCAGTATCACGCCAAAACCCCATGCATATCTTACAGTAACAAGGCAGCACTCGAAGGTTGAGGTGTTGAACACAAAGCACAGTGCGCAGAAGTACATTCGGAAGCACGCCTATGTCCTGCACGTACACACAGCGCTTCCCCTTTTCGCTGAAGGCACAGGGAGAGGAAAAGGCCGAGCGGGGTAAGAGGTGGGAGCCTGCCTAGCCGGCCCTCACGCCCCTCACACCCGGCCCGGAGGGAGATGCACCCACAGCTGTGCCCACGCGGGACAGGCCACCCGAGTCAGCCCGGACACGGGAGCCGGGGTGAGGGGCAAAGCAGCGAAGGGCAGGTAAGGGAAGAGGGAAGAGTGGGACAACCCCACGGCTGCCCTGCGACGGGGGCTGGGGGGTCCCGGGGCACCGCGATGACAGGTCCGGGAGGAAGGCGGGAGGGGGGACGGCGCAGCCGGGGGGGCCGCCGGGCCACGGGGCTGCGAGGGCGGCGTCGCCTACCGTGTACTCCCGCACTTGGCTGTGGAAGTTCTGCTCGCGGATCGTCACCTCGTCCGCTTCCATCCTTCATAGTCCCGCGGCCCCCCCGCGCAATGGCGGCCGCCGCCGCCGCGCCTGCTCCTGCCCCCCCGGCGGCAGGCGGGCCACCATGGCCAGCGGCAGCGCCGGCTGCTGTCCCGGGCCCGGCGGCGGCGCTGGCGGCTGGTTCCGCCGCTCTGTCACCGTCCGGCGGGGCGCGGAGGAGGAGGAGGAGGAGGAGGAGGAGGAGGAGGAGGAGGAGGAGGAGGAAGCGCGTGCAGCACCGCCTCAACTCCTCCTGCTGCGTCACCGCGCAGCGTCCCCGCGCACACCACGGCCCCGCCCCCCAACCGCCTGGGGGGGGAGGCTGAGCTAACAGGCCGTAGGCGTGGTCAAGCCGCCCCGGGGGGGAGTGGGAGGGGAAAGGGGCGGGGTTTAACTTTAAGCGAAGAGACCCAGCGCGAACCAGCGTTCCCGGGGGTGTGGTTAAAAGGAAGGTGGGCGGGGAGAGCCCGCTGTGGGGGCGGAGCCAGGGAGGGGCGGGGCTCGGGGAGCGGGGCGGGGGAGGAGGGCTGCTGGTTTTACATGGGAAGGGGCGCTGCGCCCCAGTTTGGGGACTGGCGGTGGGCAGGCGCAGCCCAAGTGTGTGGTGGAGAGCAGGGAGCGGAGAGGGGGGGAGGAGGCGGCACCCGCGCTGCCCTGAGGGGTGCAGGGGCGGGGGGAGCAGGCAGCGGCGGGGATGGGGGAGAGCTGCAGGCGCAGGTCCTTGCCGCAGCCCCCGTCCCAGGGAGAGAAGTCACTAGAGCAGCCCTGACCCCGGGGGTCGCCTGCAAGGTTCACCCAGTCCTGCCCCCGAAGGCCTCTCAGGAGATGGGTGCGCACAGGGGAGGGAGCGGGGCCGCCACCGAGCTCGGACAGCGTGGCGGGGTCTGGGGGTGCTCTGGTCTAGTGGATCCTCCTTGAACTCAGCCTTCTCTCTAAATGCATTAGAAGTTCTAGCTTGAAAGGCTCTGCTTAAAACTTCAGTTAAAACTTGCGTTCAGCTTGTCCGGAGCAGCTTTTTGTCTTTGAGTGATTTCTGTCAATGAAATGCTGCGCTGGTTTTTGGCCAGATGCGGGAGTACAAAGGCACAGTCTCCCAGTTGTTCCTATTCGCTCTATACGCACAGACAATTTTCTTTGTTTCCAAATTTGCAAGTAGATCTATTGTGCAAATATACACAAAAACCTATTAATCTAGGGCACACTATAAATTATAGATGGTGATTTAGCAAATCAAGCGCTTCTATCCAAATATGTAACATTATTCAAAGGAAGATTCAAAAATAAGGATCATCACTTTCTGCCTATTTACATCTATTGATACATTATACATGATATCCATGACAATTATAATTCAGACTATATTCACTTCCCAGCCTCTGGCCTATTTTCTTGGTTAAAAGCAGATGGTGAACTATTTATTAAATTCTAGAGTTAGCAAAAATAATCCTTGACTGCCTAATGTATTTCTTGTCATTCTGAAGGAATGAAGAACTTCCTTTAGCTTCAGTACAGCCAAGGTTTCACCCTTCTTTTGATACTTGTGACGATTCAAAGTATCTGCAGGCAGAATCACAGGATGGGTGTGAGAGGTCGGAAATGTCCTCACTCTCCTTCTGAAGTAGCCTGCTTGAGGCGGGAGGCTCTAGGCACTCACTGAGGCTGTAGAAACAGGAGAGGACCATTAAAAGCAGACCTGAAGAAGCAGGGAGCACAGTCTTTGAGATGCTTCTTGGGAAAAGCTGTCCTACTTTACAGCTGTTCCCTGCACAGCACTAGATTGTGTCTGATAGACTGTATTATTACTCATCTGGTTTTTTCAACTATTCCCACTTATCTTCAAACACCTTTTCTTCTTCAGATGCTGAAACTGGTGAAAGCATCTGTAGCTGCCAAGAGGAACTTTACATGAGACTTTGGCTTGTGAGAGTGGCTAGTGCTGTCCCCCTCTCAGGAGTTGGTCCAGAGAGAACAGTATAACTGAAGATTGAGGCTTATAGGTAGAATTATTACATTTTATTGTAACAACAAACACAGCTGGAAGAAGTAGACAACCATTTGGTACGCAAGAACCTGACCCCAGAGAAATCAAATTCTCTCAGAGCTGCCTGTAGAAATTATGTCAGTGGACTCACAGTCAAACCCTGCTCTTACGAAGTGTCATGCTTAATGTTTGTACAGAACAGATAGGTTCCCATCTTTCATCAGCTTGTATAAAAGACCTACACAATAAATTGCAATGGTATTATAACTAGGGTGTGAGGAACCTAGCATTCAGGCCTTCACTAGATTTATGATGAAGACAGAAGTGGTATAGCCAGAGCAAACCAGATCTAAGAACCCGGGAGACCAGAAGGTCCAGTCAAAGGGGAAAAATGGGTAGAATCAAAGATTAGGCCAGCAATCAGTATGTTAAAATATACGTACTAACACCAAGACAAAGGAGTAGCATGGCTGGAGTTCAGGCCGCAGTCAAGTAGCAAGTTGATCCAGGCAACAAGGATGACTCACAAGAAGGAGGTGGAAGAGTAAAGCAGTTTGGGGAAGAAGAGACAATGAAAGCCAGGGTTAGGAGTCAAGAGAAAGCACTAAGCTTAAGACAGGGCAATCTATAGGCTCTTAGGGAATCTCTACCAGTAAATACCAATACCTACTGCCAGTTTGTTAGGAATCTAGGCCTGAGGTGAGATTTAGTTCCAGAGCTACCTGGAAAATGATTCACGCACTGCTAGGGAACAGCTCATTGAATCTGAAACGAAGTTTATTTCATTAAGGAGGTCTGAGAGTTGTATCTAGGCACCAGGGATTTCATATATTTCTAACTGTATGTGCAGGCATATTAAACACTACTCTGAAATAGAAGGTTGCAATGAAAATGTGCTGTACTTTTGTAGCTGTTACAGAAATAAAATTAAGTTTAAGATTTAGCAGAACTGAACTTTCCACTTCCATTTGGGCTGTATGTTTTCTTTTTAATCTACTGAATTTGGAATATACCTGAGGAGGAGATACAGAACATAATTTGCTTCATACTATGCACTGGCAAGTTCTTTCTTCCGTTTCTAGCAGATGAATCATCAGAAACATGATACACATTTATATTTGCTAAAAAGACAGGGGAGGGAAAATAGCTTCGATCCTTTCTTGGGCAGAGGTTATTGCTCAGTCCTGAGTGTCTGCATCACAAAGGAAGTTCATGAGAGCCACCACAGCAAAATCTATTTATATCAAAGGAATTGCAGTCTAGAATAGGCAGCTCTTGCAAACTAATGAGAAGGCTGACTGATAAATTAATTGATTTTTGATGGGAGTACAAAAGTAGTATTTTGAAGCAAACCAAAAGAAAAAATCAAAAATTAAGCCTGAGGTACCTTGTACCAGAGTGGTTAAAAGACCTCTGGATGTTTTTTATCCATCCTGCAGACAAAACAAGGACAGTGCTGGAGAGACTGTCCTCAGCAATTCGTAGGACCTCCTTAGTAACCCTAAGGACCTTTCTCTGGGTATAAGCTATACATGATTTAGGTGTAAATAAAACATTTTCTCAAGCTGCTAATGTACATATTCACACACAAAGGGAGTAATGAAAAACAGACTTCTATTAAACTTACATTTAGTGGTGCCTAACCCCTCAGCATAAAAGTTGAGAGGATTTAATAGATTTCGCTCAGTTTATTCCTTTTCAGCCTAGTTTTAAAAAAACAGTTTTTCAGCTTCAGGATAACCCAGTAAGTGTCTGGTATCCTGAATCCCCAAGGAGGGCTGTATGTGCACTGAGTTAACCCAGATTCTCCAGAAAAAAAAGTACTGAGATATTCAAGATAATGAAATTAGTTGAATTGGCTAAAATTGAAGTTGCTAAAGTTGGAACAGTTTCCCTGGGAAGGTTCCCACAGAATTTGTCAATGGATTTTAGAGCACTCTCTTTAACTGTAAATTTGAAATTGGCACCATGCCTTTAAATCTAAATTTATCTAGCAATGTTTGAATAGGTGATGCCTTCTGTTCAAGTGATCATTCAGCCAAATGCAGCTTGGACTAAACAGAAAATAGGAAGTTATTCACTCAGTTAATATGACTACTTACAAGATGACATTGAAGATATTTCCTAAGAATTAGCCAGATTGAAGCCTGAAGCCCAATTTAGTATGGTGCTGGGAGTGACCACTGATTTTAAAGAGAACTTAGGGTAAACACATGCCACAGATGATACCCAGCACTATACATACTCAAAAGCCAATTATGGAAGACAAAAAGAGAGATTGAAAAGTTAAAATAACTTGATCATGGTGTAAAAGAAATGTTACACTATCATAATTATATACATTAAGATTATTTATTGGGTGATCATTTCAATGTCTTATATTTGATAAGCTAAAGCATAGCAAGAATTGCATTACAACTTGAGAAAGCCAGATCAATCAGTCTTGAATCTGGATTCAACTTGAAATATTGCCAACTGGCATTTCATTTCTATTCATACCTTATCTCTATTTTCTATTTGTTCGCTTTTTAAAATAAAAAAGCATGATTTTTTTGTTCCAAACACTTCCAGCCTGTATGTTCATTGTGTCAACCCAGTAACACTAACTCCCCAGTTAAACACTTTATTATGGCATCTTTTTTTTTTTTTTGAAACAGCCAAAGGAAATAAATATAAATTAAAATTGAGAATGTTGGCACAAAAAGATTGATATAAACTAGTTCAGTGTAGACTCATATATGTATGTGCTAGATTTTATATATATATTCATCAATACATTAAGGAATCCACACCCCCAAGAATAGAACTAAAAATGCATCATCAAAGTAGTACAGTTTTGAGCAAGCTTTTGAAATTAACATTTGAGTAAAATATCTCTACTACTTTTAACGTAGAGCTTGGTCCATTTATAAAAACTTTAGTGAGGTTGCTTTTAATAACTAAGGAACTGGATTCAGTGATGAATAAAACCCCTTCTAGTCCTTAGGTTTGCTTCACTGATAAGAGCCTAGAATCAGAAGACCTCTGCAGACTTTATAGTCAGAAGCAGGTTGCTATGTCCACTTACTTGCTTTTATAGAGTAAAACCAGTTTTAGAGACATTTAAATCCAAATGCTATAGCAATCATTTCCTTGAGGTAGAAAATAGTGGCTACCTCTGAACTTTGCTCATACCAACCAGCAGCAATCCATAATTCCTATTCTGAGTCATTGT